GACGAGATTTGTTGCAAATTTTATGCTAACCTGCATGAAATTTTTGCTGCTGCCGTTCCTAAGTTTTAAATCATCCTTCTGAATATCCTGTATTGTTTAATCAGGAAATAAAAAATATTATCTACAATCCAAATTCGCTACTCGGTACACAAACTGTATAAGAAATTTGAAACTGCACATTACACTCAATTATTTAAATTCCACCGTTCCAAGTAAAGTGCTTATTCAAGCTGTTTCTAAAATATGCATGCGCAAAGTTGAAAATAATGTTTCAATAGCTCCTAAGTCATTTTGGACGTTTTTTTCAAACAAAAAAGAGAGTGCACGTATTTCTGGCTTAATGTGTTACATGATATCATCACAATTATATATAACCTATAGTTAATGCTTTTGCCCGTCATTTTAGTAATGTTTGTATTAAATCTGATTGCTTAACTTTTTTGCTCTATTAACGAAAAATCTGCTCCTAGATCTTTGGAAAAAATTACGCATCTGCTCCAAATTTAATTCTGGAGACGTGAAGAACTATAGGACAATAAGTTTATTATGTAATTTCAAGAGGATATTTGAATCAGTGGTTTCTAAGCAAATTTATTCGTCTGTAAAATATTTTATACACAACCTTCGTCAGTTTAGCTTCCCCGAGGCATTACTTAAATTTTTCAGGTGGTATTTAATTGATTGAATGCAGACATTATCGTAAGGTCTTTTCTGAATTACATTGGTCTATACCTGGAGTTCCACAGGGTTCTAATTTAGGTCCACTCCTATTTTTATCTTTAATAATGACATTATTGAGCATTTATCCTCTGAGAAGTTGTTCTTTGCAGATGATCTGAAATTGTTTGTGGTGATTAATACTGCAGGATTCTGCACGACAACAGTAACATAGTTTATCACTAAATAAACAGAAATGGTTTCTAGTTTCGTATTCTAAAAAGCATCTTCAATTCGATGCAGTCCCCTTAAATCTTAGAGAAAAGTTTAAAGATCTGGGAATTACCTTTAACAATAAACTAATGTTTTACATACAAATGACAGAAATTGTGTTTGAAGCTTATAAGATGTATGGTTTCATGTTTCTACCCTCGTAGAAATTGTATTGAGTTTTTTTTTTTCGGTTTTGACACTGTAGTCTACTAGGAATTAGGAGATTTTAGGCTTAAGTTTTCATTCGTGAGTTGTTTTTATTTTATTTTATTGTTTTTGTATACTGTTTCATAGTTACTGTTAATTTTTCAATATAATTGAGTGTATAAATACCTGCTGGGATTAAGTGGGGGAGTAATATTATTCTTATTATATTTTCCTCTCCCTTATCTATTGCTTTTTGCAGTTTTCCATACAACTCATCTTTTGTTGCATCTTTGTTACTCTATAAGCTACTATCAGTCCACAATTTTTATTTTTGTTTTGTTTCCGAAATTCCTAGTATTTCTATTTTAAGTTTTATCATTTCTTCTACCAATTCCTCTTCTCTTCCTTCTCGACTTCGTCCAAGTTCCTATATTTTGTATATATATTTCCTTTGTAAGCCTTTTGTTTTTGTACTACATTAAATATTACCATTCCTTTTCTTGTTAAGTCTTTTGTTCATTTCCTTATTCCTATCGATTTTGTTCGCCTGACTTGTCGTATTTTTATTTGCCCTGCTATTACTTCTTAATTTTTTGGTTCCAATTGGGTTCTTTTGTGGTTTTCTTTTGCTCTATCTTTTTTTCCCTACTTTTTCCCTGTGCTGGGGACTGTTTTACTTTTTATTGTATTTCTAATTCCTTCTTTGTCAATTCGACATTTATCTTTCTTTTCTTCTTGATTGATTTTTATTTGCCATCGCCTCTTTGCCTTTCACTTCTATTTTTTGTATCGTGAAAATTTCTATTGCGCTTCTTAATCCTCTTGATGTTCTTGCTGGTTTTGCTTTCTCTTATATCCTTCAACAACTCCATCACAGTTTCTGCCAAAGTATCCATTTTGTCCCCCCCCCCCGCTCCTCCTTCATTTTACTTCCCGAGCGCAAGTTAACGAAGTATTTTAATATGGTGTATCCGACGAATGGCTTATTCTTTCATATTTCTCGTCGTTCCGTCTGTCTGTCTATCCGGTTGTCTGTTTATCGTCTCTGTCGCTTTTTATTAGGCAGACAATCTCCGAAATTACTTAACCAATTGTTGTCAAATTTCATAAGTATGTTAGGAATAGGTATAGTGTAGATAGTTAACGCTAACCAAAATTGATTTAATCATCCTCATCAAAAATCAGATGACTTCATCTCCAGAATTTACAATAGTAATTTTTATTTAAATGTTATAGAATAAGATACCGGATTCTGGATATCTAATTTTATGGGGGCTAACCGTAGCCAGCCGGCACTTAGGGATCGCCTTTGAATCCATTGTACCTTCCCTAAGTCCATATCAGGGTGTCTCCCCGCTCCCCTACTCAAGCCACCCAACTGCTTGAATGTACTTGAGTAGTGCAGAGGGTGGGAACTCCCGGATTTTTGCCATACTAGTAGTCCCTTAGTATGGATTTCCTGTAGGAGGCTAGCGCTGGATACTCAGGAAGAATGTGCTCACCTGTTTCCTCTTCTTCATTGCATCAACGACAGATTGGGTCTGTTACCACTCCTATCGTATGTAGATGTTTGTTAAACTGGTAATGCCCCGGAAGGAATTATACATTAATCAGTACTTTCCTATTCCTCAGTATACTGTCACAGTTGCAAAACGGATTTGCCCTCAAAAAGTAAGTTTGGCTGATGCCAGGTATTTCGCAAAGAAACTGCAAAATGCTTGGGCCAACAAAAAAACTTGGATAGTGGCAAATCGAGGACAGTTAGTCACAGTTAGAATGAGAAACTTGAAGTGTTGTTGGCTGGACGAAGGTCGATACTGTGGCAGTGTGTGTCCCTTCAAGACTGCCGAACAAGAAGAAAATGACTAAGTAGGTACCACGGTGTATAATAAGTTAGGTGTTCCGACGAGCGCGTGAAACGTGTCCCCAACTAGTCACAGATTTGGAGTGAGAGAAACAGAAGAGGGCGGCCATCATCAATCGCACTGACGGGAAAGAGACGGGAGAAGTATTTGTCGGAATTAAAGCCATTTAGGTCCAAAAATCATCAAAATTAATTATCCGTTGTATTAAAATAAAAACTTTAAACATTTTTAAAATAATAATTTATTTAAAAAGATGAATGTAAACTCGTTGTTAAAGATAGTTCTTTTCGCCTTCACATATTATATTAGTTTCACTCACTTCTGTTCGTTTCACAAGACAACTAAAAAATATCCATTAACCATTATCTGCTTTACTGTTTGAGAAATAAAAATTTACCATTATTACGTAGTCTGTAATCGAGAGTATTTTCTTTTTTCTGCACATGCCTTGGTTGTTTTCTCTTGTTCCTGTTTATAAAATTGTTTAATTTGCATAATTGTGTAAAAATATATTGCATTTGAAAATATTTCCATTCTATGCTCTTCACAAGAAAAAGGAAAGTAAATAGTCATAAAAATTTTTGTTGCCAATAGCTCTTCAATTGTTGCATCGAATACATCCACAAAATCGATATATTTCATAAGTATCCCTTCCACCCATCGGAACATATTAAACATTAACAAATCTGGATGGTTTAACCACCCCCTGGATTTTGTACTAGTAAATTCAGATGTACCTACTAGAACATGGATCTTCTTTGTTATATAACTGTTCACGGCAAATGTTACATTTTGAAGTATTGTACAATTTTTTTTGCGACAAATCCAGCTAAGTAATAAATGATGTTGTCAACAATTTTAGTTGTAGTGCATCTTCAAATAGTTGTTCGTCTATTTCGTTAATCGGTGAATCTGTATCTAAAATATATTCAATTTTCCTTCTTATTTTCTCAAGATGATTTTTCCCGCATTCTGGTATTTGTTTCAAAAATATTTTTGGAGTCATTAAATGATAACGAATGATTTGCATTACTATTTACCTGCATCTGTGTGCAATTACCAAATTTCCGAGGTTTTAATAATAATTTATAAACCGATAACATTCGGTATAGCTGCAAAGAGTTATAGATAAGGGATGTCCATTGGCACAACCTGCTTGTCGAATTGTGCTGAAAAATCTCTGCAAAAAGTATAGTTTATGTGGAATAAAAAAAAAATACATATCGCATTCAAAAACCCTCTGAAAATAAACATAAATTCTGTTTCTTGAATGTTAAAACATAACACATAACCGATAAAAAGGGAGTAATTGTTTTAAGTAAAAATAAAATTCAACATAAAATGCCTACTATTACTATAGCGACGACCAGTATTTTTTGGTGCAAAGTGTTGTTCAAAAGCAGCAGTTCACTACTGCAATAAAAGTGCCATTCCAGTAATCTGTCTTTAGGTACCCGAAACACCGACACTTTTTCGGGATTACCATTGTATCCGCTAGAACAATTAGGCACAACACATTTTCTACCCATTTTTATTGATAAATCAAAAAACAAGTAAGAAATCGCAGAGAAAACCTAGCAAAATCTGTCACACCTACAGAGGGAAAAAGCCCGCCAAACGCTGCTAAACAGATCTAAGTGAGAGGTTACAGGCCGCCGCTGTCTGTCTCTCTCGACCGCTCATCGTGACTAAACCGGCGTCAACTCGATGCACGGTGAATACGCTTCGTCGTAACACCTAACTTATTATACACCGTGGTAGGTACCAAGTCAATATAATTAGTTTTGTAGTTAGTTTAGGTAATAAATCTTAGAGTAGAAGACAAATGTGTTAATTATAACACCCCCAATTGTCACAGGACGTGACACAACCAGTTTACCATCTACTCAAGATAGGGTTCACATAGTGCTCTTGTAGGACTAGACCGATGCTTTTGAAGGTCGTTTTATAGAACGCTCCTTCAATATCCAAGAACATTCCTAAGGTGGAGAATGTGTTCTCCATTGCCTACTCTATACGGTTTACAACTGTGTGTAAGGCCGTATCCGTGGATCTTCCTTAGATGTAGGCATGTTGGTTCGGATGTAGAGGTTGCTTGCTTAAAACGATCTCCCGAATCTCTTTTTCGCTTGGTCTTTTTAACGTTTTCAGCAAGAATGATGTTAAGCTAATTGCTCTATAGGACTTAGCCACGGTGTAATCTTGTTGTCCTGGCTTAGGTACTACTTTTCGCGATGCATTCGCTATGTAGTTGAAAGCATTGGCAACAAGATAGGGCGTAGTCTGCTCATTCCCCCCTGCAGGAGGGCGGAATAGATACCGTCCACTCCCGGAGATTTATATGGGGAAAAGCTGTCAACTGCCCACTCCAGTGTTGCCTCCATGACTACCTTTGCCGCCAACGCTCAGTTCTTCGGGGAAGGTTGAGTACCGGCTACATCCATTTTGGAATAGGAGATAGTCCTTTTGGTGCCTGGAAACATAGTCTGCAGCAAAAGTTCTGCGGACTCTTCTAAGGTGGCTGTAAAAGTATCATCTTCTTTCTTTAGGAAACCTGGTTGATATGAGTAGTCCTTCGACAAAACTCTCTTCAGCCTTGCGGCCGAAGCAGTCGACGTTATGTCGCTGCAGGAGGATCTCCACGTTTCCCGTTTCCTCTTTCTTAATTCTTTCTTAAACTCTTTGCGGTGCTCTTTAAAGGCTTCCCAGTCCTCAATTTTCTTAGTGTTTTTTGCTCTATTGAAAAGTTTTCTTAGCCCCGATTGAAGTAGGCTGAGCCTTCGGTTCCGCCATGATGTACCTTTTCCCAGGTCTTCCTTCTTTAGGGGGCAACTTTTCTCATAAGCTGACATTAGAGACTCGTTGATAATGGTCAGAGTTTTCTTTATGTGTTCTGTCGATTTATATTCTATTGCTATCGACTGTACACAGGTCCAGTTTTTCGTTGTATAAAGCCCAGTTTGTCAGCCTAGGGTTCCTTGACGTCTTTCTTTGTCCCTAAGTCTATACATTTTGACGTATACATAAACCATCTATGGTCTGACAGTGACGCCTCTTTAGAGACGTGCCAATAAAATACTGCTGTAGTTGGTTTTTGAATCCATGTAGAGTTTTTACCGAAGACATCCAGATTTCAAAAAATCAAAATCATTTAACAACACTTTCCAATTTAACTTTGAAACCGTAACACCAAATAAGCATGACAAAAGCTTAATCAAAGTTTATCTGTTTATTTCCTACCATAATTTTGGTTAATAAATCCTATGTAAAATATTCCAAATTATAATGAATCTACACTTGTGGTTATCGATGCATCGAATACAGAGTGATTTAAAAAAATTATCGAATAAGAGAATTGAAAATTGAGTATAAAGAACTTTTTAATATTACTACACCGCACTTGTCCAAACTAGTAGCGGGTGACTGTCAACGACTGAAGCAAATCTTCGTTTTGGCAATTCTGAATTATTGCCAGTTTTGTCGATTAGTTCTCAGTTGTCAATTTTGACATAAGGGCGCCTAAAAACCTAATGAAAAGACGGCAGGCCTTAGATTTCACTTTTACATCAGGTATGCCATCAAAAGATTTTAAATATGTTGTCAACCTGACAAAAAATGACAACAATTAATAGTCCCTCAGTATATGTATCCTTGCTAAAATCTTGAAAACGTCATCACAAAATTTTGTTGTGGGAAAACTCACTTGAAATATAGGCTCATTAATCATCATGCTTCTTTAACAGTCCAAACAAACCTTTATTTTAACTTATAGGAGCTACAAAAAATTGGTCTAAAGACGACTGCATGCCTGTTATGTTTTTTTTTCGCAGTAGATTTCAAACCATTCGGTTTTGTAGTTCCTGAGTAAACCAATAACATAAATTTATGCATTCGTTATTTTTTTTGAGTCCCCCGGTATATGCAAATTCAAAAAACATGAATGGAATGATAAATTACAAGTACAGACTCATCATATTTTGTATATTCTAGATAGGATTTATTCGACTAACTTTTGAGCTGACGTCGTCAGTTTTTTGGAGAAGATAACCAAATATATTTTGACTAAAAATTTATTATGCTCTTTATAACTTTAAAATATTTGCTAGATTTCAAAACATTCGGTAGTGTAGTTCCTGATTAACTCAATAAAATACATTTACGCATTCATTAATTTTTTTGAGTCACCCTGTATATGCAAATCCAAAAAATATGAATGGAGTGATAAATCATATTTTGTGCAGTTTAGACAGGATTTATTCGGCAAACTTTTGAGCTGACGTCATAAAGTTTTTGGAGGGGATAACCAAATATATTTTGAGTAAAGATTTATGATGCTCTTTATAGCCTTAAAACATCTGCGAGATTTCAAAACATTCGGGTTAGCAGATTCAGAATTAAATTGCAAAATGGTGTTTTATAATTTTTATTTTTTTTCCAAAAATCTGGACGTTTCAGGTAAAAACTGAATTCGAAGTCGTAAACTACATGTGTAGGGCTATGTTATTTGTTATTTCATACAATTTAAAACCCATTTACTATGTACAATTTTGAAGTGATGTCATCGCATTAATGGTGGGGATGATTATACAAATTTTGGTTAGCGTTTTACCATCTGCATGATATTCCTAATATAAGTACAAACTTTCACAACAATCGGTCCAGTACTTTCGGAGATTATCTGCCTAATAAAAATCCGCGACGGCAGACAGACGGTAATGGGAGACCTATTTCTTCGTCTTCTAGGGGTCATGAAAAATCTTGAAAACGTAAAAGTAGAGAGTCGGCCGAGGGACTCGATTACAACACTTCCTTTGGTTATGCTCGGGAAGTAAAAATAAATAATTCTATGGCACCTCGTCTTCCATTCCATTGACCTACAAACCTTCTATCTAAATATTATCAAACACACAGCGCATACTGCGGAGGAGCTTCATCCTATTGAAATATCAACTAATCTTCGAAATGACGGTCAACAGTTTCAGTTATTTCTCATAAAATTTTAAATTATCCAAAAAAGTAAAAAATAGGTGTTAATTCCCTAGATATTGTCAAGCTGCTAGATTTTCATACATAGCTTCCAAGTAAATGTTGATTAATAAGTAACAAGCAGCACACTACGAATATTCCGCGTTATTAGCAGTATCTTAAATGTTAGTTGGTAAAGTCGCTACGACAGAATGTTGCCAGATTATTGACTAATTTCACCAACGATAGGAGATTAGCCTCAAATTGTGTATTAGTTGCTTTGCTAATTAAAATCATCAATATTTAACTCAATTCGTCAATCTCAGAACTCGGTATTATACAACATCTCTCGCTCAATTAGTAACCAGTGGGGTATTTTTGTAAACGTATTTGTCTCGGTCTTTTATTCGATTTGCAGCTTTTACGTACGTGTAACCTCTTGCACAATTTATGAACCTATTTGTCCCCGTTCGATTTGTTACTTTCTTCACACTTACCTACTTGCGTAACAATAAAATAGTTTCAATTCTTTGCGACCCTAAAACGTTTGTGTTCTGGAAAGGAACATAACCCAAGGGTGTCTCAATCTTATTTTTTAATTCTACTCAGATATTTCGTATTTAGAAATACAGAAAAATAATAATTTTTATTGGAATTTGATATGTGATAGATTTTTGTAATTATAATTTTTTTCAATTTAACAAAAAACTTATACATATCACAAATGTTGGAAAGTAATCCGAAACCTGCACGACGCATACAAGACTAAGAAATTAATCTTTTGTTCCTGCACTAGATTTGTGGAACTTGTTGCTCGCTCAGGCTGCTTACGAAACTTAACACAGTGCAAGTGATCTACAACATTAAATGCATATTGATCCACACTATACGGTAATAGCGAAATGAGTACTAAACAACTTTTCCACGAGAAGATGACCCGTTTTATTCATAAATGAAATTGACTTTTCTATGAGAACTAGCTGAAAATAAACTATTATTGATTCGACCCGCTGAATGAAACCTGTTAATAAATTAATTCCGTTTACAAATTTACAATACTCACAACCTCTGACACCGGTAGGTTTTATTAAAATGGGGTTTTTCATTCATTTTAAAACAGACAACGAGCCTTTGCACTCATTTTGAATGATTTGCATCACCCACTCTGTCAGCTGGTACACAAACATTTCAGAAAATTGCCCATTCTCCCGCTTCCATTACGAATTGGGAACTCAGCAATGGATAACCTGTTGTTGTCTTTCATAACAGGTTTATTTGAGTGGGAGTAAATTACTTCGTCGTGATTGATAGCCCGATTACACCACATTGTTCCGATTGATAAAATCAAAGTCAATGACAATATTTGATCAACTATATCGTAATTACCTCATTCATGAAACATCAGGTGTCGATGACAAAACCGGATCGCGATAATTACAGGTCTACTTGAGGAACGACAATTCTATTGTCCCATTGAACATATTGTCAGTGTGATTTAAGAGGACGCTGTAACAATCGCTAAGCGAGAAATTAATTTGACACGAACACACTCGGCCGGGATTTTTTCATTTCCAACGACAATCGCTCATGTTCGAATTGATTTTTCAATGGGACAGGGAAAAGTGTGGAAACACAATGGGTTTTATGCACAAGTTGTTGTGGTTTATTTTACGTGACAGGAATAGTTTCAGTAGGGATAATTGGAATGTAACTGATTTTTAGTCGTGCATTTATTGAATTCAACTTGTGACGTCTATGTGTTTGATATGACAATCGATGGAATTTAAATGCTAGTGAATAATTGGTAAACCGTTAAATTTATTTGATTTTATGATTTATTTTGTCAAAATTTATATTTGTGATTTTTATGATACATAATGGAGTTATTTTAGCCCCTGGTAAACTGCGTTATTTATTTTTTATTGAATTAACTCACGGAATAACAGCAGGTGGCAGTGACTGATGATTATATCTATTACTGTTCAAATTTCGTGATGTTGTTAAGCCTTTTTCAGTTTTTATGGGTGTTACTGTCAGTCGTTTTCTTTTAGGGAATACATTCATCGAAGAACATAAAATTGGCTTGTAAATCTAATTAACACACTCAATATTTTGACATAACTACTATTTTTTTTATTATTCAACGAAAAACGTCCTCATTTTTGTGTTAGATAGGTAGCTATTTTTTCGTTCCCGTTGTGCGTATTTTATTGCCAACAATCACCGTTTCAAATGTTGAGCTTAGAGTACTTTCTACAGTTAGTAAGTGCTTCTGTGAGGCTATTTGTTATGTTATGAAAGTTTGTATTGTTTCTCAAAGCTGGAAAGATTCTGAAAATGTGATAGAACTAAAGGTAAATTTGAAAGAAGTGTACAATTTTCCGGTATTTAGTTGAGTCAACCAAAATTGAAAAGTTCAAACAGTTACAAGATACCTTCGTATTTGTTTATGTTGAAAATTGTTATCAGTAAATTGATCTCAAAAAGGCAAGCTACAACATTTTTCTAATCATCCCTACCAACCATGGGATTCCGTCGTCTCCAAAATTTATAGTAATAAATGTTATTTTATAAAATAAAATAAGGTATTCCTGCAACCCGAATTAAATGGGATATTTCACAACAATGAATATTACATTACGTTCCAAAAATACTGAAAATTTAACTTCAAAGTTTGCAAAGGTCTAAACTTTTCTTAATTTAGGGTATTTTTGTTAAATTTAAATGCTCTTGTATCAAATTTCGATTCCTAAATAAATAAAGTATATAATTGATTATGTTATTTTTAGTCCTAGATATTGTTACGATGATCGGTGATTAAAAAACTCAACAATTTATTTCTTAGTGACTCAAATTAGACGTCTAAATTACACAGAGATTATAATTC